TTAGCGTACTAAAACCGAACACAACTCGGTTCGGTTCGAATTTTGTAGTAACTCGAATGTCGAATATTCGACATCCGAATTGGGCTAGTTCGAATGTCGGTTTTTCGACATTCGAACTGGGCTAGTTCGAATGTCGAATATTCGACATTCGAACTGGGCTAGTTTGAATGTCGAAAAACCGACATTCGAACTAAGCTAACTCGAATGTCGAATTTTCGACATTCGAACTAGGCGAAAAAATTCGAACAGTTCGGTTCGAATTATTTTGCACAGCTCTAATATTGATAAATTTTTTATAAATGGGGGCTGCAGGGGTCTAGCGATAAATAGTTTAATTGAGGTCTTGTTGTTGGGTTACGCGGATGACCTAGTATTTCTCTCTGATACCCCTGTGGAAGTCTCAAGAAAACTTAAAGCGCTGTATGAGTACTGCGAATTGAATAGACTGAATGTAAACACACAAAAAACGAAAATTGTCACTATCACGAGAAACGGTAATAGCAAAGCTAACAGAATTGACGCTTTTAAATTTGGCTCGGATCATATTGAAGTTGTTAAGAGTTATGATTACTTAGGGATTCCTTTTGTCAGCTCAGGCGGTAGGAAGTATCCTGCGTATTACCTGCTCTATGGGGAAGGTTTCTTGGAAATCATACACTTAGCTTTTTGAAAGCTTGGCGTTAAGTACGCTTTTTTATGGGATTCAGGTTTGGGGAACATGCCATGTCGACGAAATAGAGAAAGTTCAAACTTCCTTTTTAAAGAGACTTCTGTCTTTAACAACGAATACACCTGATTGGGCGGTTAGACTTGAGACGGGAGCGCTTCGACTTGGGCTTAAAGTTTTGAAATACATTCTAAATTGGATCCTTAGGATCTCTCGCATGGAAAATTCTAGATACCCTACACGGAGAGAAAAAACAAGGCTTTTCCCCGTGACTTCAATTCATGCCTTTTCAGGTAGCAGTTTCACCGGATTTCCCGATGAATTTCATGCGTTTAGCGGTTGGGCCACGCCTTAGCCCTAGAATCTCACCGGGAAAACCTGTGAGCGTCCTGCATTTTTACTGTGATAATTTTCACGCGTTAAATGCGTATTTTTTCATGGGGAAAAGCCTTGTTTTTTCTCTCCGTGTAGAATGTGTTTCGAAAGACTAAGAGCCCTGTCTATGTCGTCTCCGGAGTATGGGTTTAACTGGTTCACTCAGTTGAGAGTTTCTTTTTTTGAGCCTCGGGGCATGATCGACTTTTGGCGGGACCTAACTCTGCACTCAATCGCAAGCCTCAGGGAACCTATTCTAAAAGCTGGAGTGTTGGCAGCCTCACTGCGGATAGAAATCGGCAGTCAGTTTCTTCCAGTCTTTTAATATTTCCAAATTTGTCTATTCAAGATGGCCCTCAGCCATACTTACTCTCGAGTCTTCCATTATTTTATAAAAGAATTTTTGCGCAATCACGACTCCTAAATAAATATATTACTCGAATTAATTGTGGCTCTTTTTCTTATACTTTTCGAGTTGGTAGAGATTGTCTTTTTTGCGGCCTGGAAGAGGAAAGCCTGTTTCATTTTTTACTGCGTTGTCCGGCATGGTTGCACTTTTGTAAGGGAAGCTTTCCGGAGATCTCTTGCTCAGCGAGTTTGGCAGAGAAAGGCCTGATGATTGTATCTTCGTTAGACACGTCTTCGGTGAAAACCTATGTCAGGTTAATTATGCAAATACTCAGCGAATGTGAAAAGCGGAAATCATTAGAGAATAGTTCCTTACTTAATTGAGAGAAAATTAGGAAAATGTAATTGTATAACGCGACACCCTGCTTGTAATACCCAATATGTGGTCATAAACAAGTGTATTATTGATAAATGTATAACTATTTTTCAATAAATATTATTATTATAATCGATAGTTCTTTGATTCTCCATCGTAGCCTACTAGAATCAATTTTTTACTTTTCGGGTAAAATTTCTTCCTTCTCTCTTTAGGAACATTTAGATATCCATAACTACCGAACACTTTCACATGGCTTATCTCAGGTTTGCGATTAAACCATTTTTCATAGGGAGTTTGTGTCTCACCTTGTTGAAACACAACTCTATTCAAAAGATAACACGCTGTGTTAATTGCTTCTGTCCATAGCTTTCTATCCACATTACTGCCTAAAAGCATAGCTCGCGCACTTTCAACAATTGTTCTTATTTCCCGCTCTGCTCGGCCATTCTGCTGATGAATGTACGGTGAAGAAAATTCATGAATGATTCCTTTTTCGCGTATAAAGTTGCTGAACTCTACCGAAGTGTACTCAGTTCCGTTATCTGAGCGCAAACATTTAATTTTATTCCCGGTCTGAGTTGTTACAAAGTTTTCGAAATCTTTAAACCTCTCAAACACTTCCGACTTATGTCTCAAAAAATAAATTTTTCTAAAACCCGTGCTTTCGTCTTTAAACACTAAAAAATATTTTGATCCTCGCGGGGATTCGATATTAATTGGACCACAAACATCAGTATGAATTCGTTCACCTGGCAAGGCATCACTCACTTTATTTCTCGACGGATGTGGTTTACGCGTTTGCTTCCCGATCACACATGATTGACAAAAGAAATCACTGTCTTTATCGCTCGCTATATTGTCAATTTCGTACACTTTACACGTATTTTTTAAAGCACAAATGTTCACATGTCCCATACGCTCATGCCAAAGCTGTAGCATGTTTTTCTTGTCATTATTATCACTTTGAGCTACGTTGAACTGAATTGGCGCTTTCACTTGAAACAACATACGGAATAAATCTCCGTGGCGAACACCAAGTGATGACAGCTGTCCATCACTATTCCGAATTTCACACTTATGTTCGAATGAATGAAACGAAAATTTCTTTTTATTCACTGTCCCGATAGAAAATAAATTTCGTCTCAATTCTGGCACAAATAGCACATCTTGTAATTCTCTTTCAATTATTTTTCCATTTATTTCTTCTTGAATTAACACTGTGCCAACACCTTGTGCTGTTAGAATTTTATCATCCGCGATTACCACAAAATGTTTTTCTTTTATCGGTTCAAAACGAGTAAAAAAGTCTCTTCTGTATGTCATGTGCTTGCTAGCACCAGTGTCCGCAATCCAGAAATACTCACTTTTTTCACTTTTTCCGGAATATAGCGCGATTGATTCAGTAATATATGCTGTTGCCAATTTATTGTCATTGTTCCTTATCTTTTTTATCATTTCCACATGGAGAGAAATCTGCTGCTAATATTACTCGAAAGAGCACATTACTTAAATTGCTTAACGTTTCTCTTATATTTTTAGCATGGATTCATATACTTATTGTAAAAATACTTTCAATGCAATAAGCATAAGAGACAGTAGCTAATTTTGCACGAAATCTTTATTATAAATACAAAGAGAACGTGCTATAAAAGTATTAGATTCTTCTTATAAGAATCGCTCGAACTCCGACTGATTTTCAGGCGGACTTTATACACAGGTTGCCAGATTGGGCGATTTATCGCAAATTGGGCGACTTGAGGTGCAAAAATGCGACTTTATTTTGGGCTATTGCGACATGTCGCAAATTGGGCGATTTGCTAACAGTTTTTTGCGACATTTGGGCGACTTGTGAAAGTTTAGTAAATATTAGCAAAAAAATTATAAAAGATTTCTTTTTTTTATTCTTATTCCTTGTTCCCGTATTTATATTCAAGCTATGTTGGTTTTCAAATTCCAGTCTCATTATTTTGTAAAACAGAAGACGTTAACCAATCAAAATTCTCTATTAGAATAAGTTTCATTGAAATAGAAGTTTCTATTGGCTATTAACCGCTTTCCGTTTCTTCTTTTTACCTAATTTTCACGTCAACACTTAATCGATACTATTATTGGGCAACTGTTGCCAACTGCGACAGTTAAAATAATTATAAATCGACTAATTATTATTAACTGTTTACTTTTATAATAAATAAATTATTAATTAATTTTACATACAATTAAAATATAAAAATTAAAAAATCTAAAATTAAAATCTACTTGTCACAGTGGGGTTGGTAACAATTTGTTGCGCGTCAAAGTCAACTTTGAAAATTTCGTGATAAATGATATTGGAGATTCGCCTTTAGGGTATCGGTATGATGCGCCGTGCGCCTGTGCAAGCAGCAGAGTTGTGTATCACATCATTATTTTACATAACCTTGTTCAGGTTATGTTGTGTATAATATTGGTCCATGTGATTTACCGGTTGATTTAAAGATGGGTAAATGGTCTAAGTATTCAAAAAAGTATCAAACAAAATGGGAAGAGGAGAGTGAATTGAAAGGTAATTATATAATTATAAACTAAAAAAATGTGTTTCTCTCTTTTGGAAGGGTTAACATAAATTAACATTTGAAACTTCTGTATTTTCGAAAGTAACAAATTAATTTTCCCATAATTATATTATTGTACAATCCATTGTTTATAAAATTTTAACGAATCAAAAATATTATTGCTTAATAACAAAACGTTATGTGTTTCTCATTTTAGACTGGTTACAAAAAAATCCAGACGTAGACAATGATCCTGATCATAGAGAAGCTATGTGCAAAGTGTGCGAAATGAAATTGAGGGCTCATCATAATGACTTATTAAAACACGCAGGTACTGTGCGTCACAGACAAAACGCCAAAAAATTTAATACAAAACTTCAGCCAACCCTTGAAAATAAGGGGTATTCTGTAATAGGAAATGAGGCAAAGAATACAGATTTACGTTTGGCTGTATATATAGCAACACATTCTGTTGTAAAAAGTATGGACCATTTAGGAGAACTTTTGCAAATTTTAGGCAAAGGATCATCTTTGGAAAATATTAAAATGCATAGAACGAAATGCTCTAAGTTAATTTTAAACGTCATTGCGCCTGCGATGCTAAGCGAATTAATCGAGGACATTGGAAATCAAAGCTATTCCTTAATAATGGATGAGTCTACAGATATTTCAGTAATTAAATATTTAGCATTCTGCGTTCGCTACTTCAGCTTAAATAAAAAACGACTTATCACAGATTTCCTAGGATTTGTAGAAGTAGAAAAGGCGACTGGTAAAATTCTTTTCGACAAAACAATTGAGTACTTGAAAGAAATAAAATTAAACGTTGAAAACTGTATCGGAATTGGGAGCGATAACGCGTCAAATATGATCGGCAGTGAGAAAGGATTTTTTCATTATTTTAGCGAATTAGTACCAAGAGCGCAATTAATTAAGTGCACGTGTCACTCGATACACCTGTGTGGATCAAAAGCTGCAGAGCAACTTCCAGCTGATCTGGAATTTTTAGTTCGTGAATCCCGCAATTGGTTTTCAAAAAGCGCTTTAAGGCGTTCGCAATACGAAGCTTTGTACACGGTAATCAACGACGGTGATATGCCTAAGAATTTAGTCCAACTTTCTGCAACCAGATGGTTAGCTTGGGGCAGAGCCATTGCTGTTATCGTTTCTCAATGGTTGGAATTGAAAACCCACTTTGATAATCACGTTCGTAGTATAAATCCTAGCGAAAAATGCACGATTGGTAGAAAGCTTCGAGATCTTTTTCAGGATGAATGTAACCTTTTGTATTTATTATTTTTGAAACCAGTAACAGCTGAACTCTGCAAAACCAATTTGAAATTTCAGCAAGACTCAACAGAGGTTATTTAATTTTATAATAAAGAACATTATATTAAACTACAATTTTGAAATAAAAAAGTTTATGATTTTTTGTTTGTTTTAGGTTACTAAGCTTTTTGTAGACCTGCGAGTGCTGCTCATTTCATTTGTAATAAGAATTATTAAGCCGGAATATATCAAAATAAACCAGAACGGTCAATTTTTATCAGGACAAGACTTTCAGGATTTAAAAAGTGCGTTAGATAGTCCCCATGCTTACCTACCATTGAATGCGATTGATTTTGGAGCCTCGTTCGCTATTCATCTTGGAAGGATTAATCTGCCCATGGAAAAAATAAGAGAAGTTAAACAACGTTGTTTAAACTATTTATCCATATTATGCAAGGAACTTGTTTATCGTTTGCCAAACAACATGCACCATTTCGAAAATATTCGATATTTTACCCCAGAAGAAAGCTTGAAACCCGTAAATAGGGTTGACTTTTTCAAGTTGCCATTGCAATTAGCTGGTAAATGTTTATACATATAATAAAAATAGAAATTTGTAATCATAACAATATATTTTAATTAACTTTTTTTTAGATCCTAATGTAGACCTCGATTTTCTCCAAACCCAATGGGACCAACTTATTTTAGTGGATTTGCGAAACCATTTCAATGGAAAAATTCCTGTTGATTCAGTTGAATTTTGGAGTGGAATTTTTGAATATAGAGACTCAGCGGGGCAAACAGTTTTTACAGACCTGGCTTCTTTTGCCTTAAGAATTCTCTGTCTGCCATTTTCAAATGCATCAATTGAACGTGTCTTCAGTATCATGAATAGTGTGAAGACAAAAGCTAGAAACAAGCTTTCAATTGTATTATTAATGGCTATTATGAGAATCCGATTGAGATTTGGGACCATGCAGGAATGCTGCAATACTTTTGAACCCACTGCAAGAATGTTTCAACTCTTTACGTCCCAAATGTACGTTTCACTTAACGAGGCTTCTAACAGAAATAATAATAATCACGATGAAATTTCGTATTTCGAAACATTGGAGTTATTTGCAGACGAAAATAATCTTTTATAATTGTTTATCCATTTAATACAATGTAAAATGTAAATTTTAATGTGCCAAAATTTAGTTTTAACAGATTCTATGATCTATGGACACGTTTTTCCATTTTTTATGTTTATGTAAATTATATTAAATAAAAATTTATTCTCTAAAAAATTATATGTAGTTTATTAACTTGAAAATTCAATTATTATTATTTTTAATAATATTATTTTAACATTAATATTTTAAAAAATTCAATAATAACAATTTTTAATTAAAAAAAGTTTCAAAATTTACCTTTTATTTATTGTTTTCTTAAAATTAAATTTTTATATATTTAAAAGACGCGGCAATTTTGGTCGATTTACATGTGTTGCGACTTTGTGCGACTTATACGCGCAGTGCTTGCGACTTCAACCTCTACCAGTCTGGCAACCCTGCTGAATCTTACCTGTGTATACGCACATATAACTCACACACACATATATTTCTCTGGACAGTTTTGTCGTCCTGTAAAACATTATATATTATATGTAGTATTTAATACTTTTTTTTTTTTTTTTGCTTAGGGACTTTTGGGAAATCTGCCTACAGATACCTTGGATTCCGCACTCCAAGGTTATGTGGGGTTGGTATGATAAAAACAAGAGAAAATATAAAAAAAAAATAAATAAATAAATATATAAAATAGTAAATTTAATAAACTGGCGACCTACTGCCAGCCCGTCTTCTTCTTTTATTCGTGTTTGAATGTATAAGCAACATGTGAAAATTGTTAGGTTATGTTATTGCAAACGTCACCGCGTTGTACGCGTTCCGTTCCTCGAAATCATCCAGAAAAATATATATGTGTGTGAGTTATATGTGCGTATACGCAGGTAAGATTGTGTTGTATAAAGTCCGCCTGAAAATCAGTCGGAGTTTGAGCGATTCTTATGAGAAGAATCTAATACTTTTATAGCACGTTCTCTTTATATTTATAATAAAGATTTCGTGCAAAATTAGCAGCTGCTTTTTGTTTTTATTGCATCGAACTCTCCATTACATTAAATAGATGATTTCGTATATAAATTATTATAACCCCAAGCTAAAATTCTATTCAGCAGTGACTAATAAAATTTGTAAAGTTTCTGCAAGCAATAATAGCAACAGATTTCTCTCCGTGCAGCTTTTGGACATTCTCGAACCCAATGACCAACTTCCTTACAATATGCACACTTAGTTCGCTTTTTGAGAGCTTCAATTTTCTTATTTTTCTCTTGTGCTTGCTTTCTATTTTCTTCCTTTTTTGTACTCTTGCTGTTAAGAGTTTCTTTAAATTTAAGAGAATTAACCTGCAGTGCAAGTGTAGATACGCTGTCCTCCAGATCAGTTAATCGTTTGTCTTCTCTTAAAAGTCTTGAAATAAGATTTTCTTTTTTTCTCTCCGCTTTTGGAGTACACTCCCAGGCCATTCTGAAAGTTGAAAATCTGAGCGGCAAGCTGCTTAATATCTTTGATTCAACTAATGAATCAGAAAGACTTTCTTTTGCATCGGAAAGCTTTTTACAGATGCTCTCTAATCTTTCTATTTGTAGAGATATGGATTCGCCATCTTTTATTCGAAACGCATAAAACTCTTCCCACGCACTTTGCTTCATGTCTTCACTACAATCACAAAAAAGAGTTTGCAATTTATTCCACATTTTCATCGGACTTGAACAGTTTATTAAATGTGGATGTAACTTCTTTTCCACCGACTGAAGTAAAATCATTGAACACGTCGAATTTGCCTTTTTCCATTTTTTCCAATCTGCAGGTTTTGTGGCTTTTTCTGGCTCTTCTGCTGTACCATCTATATGATTCATAACATCCTTTGATTCCAAAGCAATTGTGACGCCAAATTTCCACATTGCATAGTTGGTACCGTTGAGCTTAGTTATATCAAACATTTCCTTCTCTTCCGCCATGGTAGAAAAAAACTTAAACCACTCGTATGTTCAACAATATGGAGAAAAATTAGTTCACTTGTAAACACGCGGTGTCACAGTTTAAAGGCACTTAGTTTGAGCGAAAAACCACTAACACTTCTATGACGCGAGGATGCTACAACGCGATGCTCAATGTCTCCGACTTTGCTTTTATTTAGTTCTGAAAAATACACTTGCGCAGCAAAAATGTTCTGGGCCCATAACCTATTGAATTTTTACTTAGTTTTATTCTAGGAGAAATAAAACAAATCAATTTAATAGTACACAGAACAAGTATATTTATTTTAATAGAAAAAGCAAGACAGAGCAATGTACAGAAGTATACAGAATGACTGCTTGTAGTCAACTAACTCAGACCTGACAAGGGTTTTTTTTCGCAATTACACTCATTTTACCTGAGACATCCAAATCGAAAAGTGGGAGGTTTGCATGAACCCTTAAGATATCTGCTAGACATCATAAAAGTGAAAGTTTTACAATTTTAATATTTTTACTACTTTGCCTGGAAAGAACATTTTTAATCTTCTACACTTAGATTTTAGCACGTTTAAGTTTTTTTTCCAAAACTACATTCAAAATATAATTCTAAATATAAATCTTATTCTAAATTTATAATCTCAATAAGACATTTTCTTCGTATTTAACTCTTCTTTCAAAGTGTTTTATTTAACACTTTCAAGTGTTTAGAAGTAACCTGTTACTTTTAATATCATTATCGTTTTCGTTACTTATTTTAGGTAACGGGAACGACAACACGTTCTTATTTTAGTAAAGTAACGGTGACCAGTTTCTGCTAACTCCTTTTGCAATTGAGTGGATTGTCGTCTTTATTGGAGAACATGCAACATTTTTCTTCTTTCTTAGGAACAGACGTCGTACAAGTTTTGATAATGACATAAACTTGGAGACAATGTCGGTGGCATATTATTTGACATCTGGTCGTAGACAGTCTCACCTACTACCGGAATATTCAATTCAAAAGAAACAGCCGCCTCCTCTTGATTTTTTGGCAAATGCATTGTTTGCATTGAGTTCGTCTTAAGCATTTTTTCGAACTATTATTTAATTTTATTTAATTTTATTTTATTGAACAAATCCAACAGTCTTAAAGACCAATTACGGGATTATCATAGTACAACGAATGTAAAGAAAACATAATACTTTTAACAATATGAAAAGTATAAGTGTATAATAACTTCTGAGAGGAGTAGACATAAATGCATAGTTTTACAATATTTAGTGCATAGCAATTATATGGGAAATGGAAAAATGAAAAAAATGGAAAATTATATGGAAAGAATTAAATGGAAAAAACCAATTAGGCTCAATAGAAAGGAAGATATTGACTGGTCAAAGATATCGAATTCGGTGCTACAAATTAGAGTGAACTATATTCAATATATGCTTCTTCAAGAAAATGATTGTGACAAACTACATATTTCTTTCGAATTTCTTCGTACGCAATCCCAGAAATAGAAGTATTGTTTATAACAAACAGCCATCTTATCCCTTGTTCAATGATTTTTGGCAGGCAATGGCCAGCAACACCAGCACCTTTTGAACAATTTTCAACTATACATTTTCCACGCATTGTGAATGATCTATAAAGATAAGAGAATTAACTTTTATGATTATTTAATAAATAATAATCTTAGGCTTATTTTAAAGGTCATTTTCTACAAAATGAGAATTACTTATAGACATTTAAGTGTAATTTTTTTCTTAAAAAATGTAGGTCTTCAAAGTTGGACAAAAAAAATTCAAGAAATTTGAAACCATTTTTTTGTATTAAAAACTATTCCAGAAAATATTAAACATGATATGGTGTAGATTTTTGAAAAGAGTTTAATTAGAAAATATGTTTGAATTTTAAAAATTATTTTTCTGTTAATAAGATTCACTAAAAAAATAATAGACAAAATGTGCTTTTAACTTGGGCAATTTTTGCCTAAGTACAAAAGCAATACACGTAAAGCAATTGTTTCTTTAAAAAAACAATTTATGTCTTAGTTAATAAGGTAACATTAAAACAATGGAAACCAAAGTAAGAAATGTATACTACAGAAATTGAATCTAGAAAATTTTGTTAAAGTATTTAAAGGTATGAAATTCACTTTTTCAATAAAATTGTTTTATAAATTAAAACTATATGTAGACACCATTTTGGTTATAAAATTCATACACGCACATTTAACTGTTATTGAAATTGACAAACTGGTTCTTTTTCATATTTATTTAAAATAAAATATTAATAAAAATAAAAGTTTCTTTCCACTTGAATTGCAAATATAATTAATAAAAATGTCAAATATTGCCTTGTGATTTTAACCTTAGGAACTATGGCAAAAATTATTTTTTTAAAGAAACAATTGCTTTGCGTGTATTGCTTTTATTCTAAAGTAAAAAATTGCCTAAGTGAAAAGTACATTCTGTCTATTATTTTTTCTAAGAAAAAAATTACACGTTAATGCCTATAAGTAATTCTCATTCTGTAGAAAATGGCCTTGTCCCTGATGTGCACTATGTTACCTATGTACATATTTTTGATATCTTATCAATAACTTTTTCAAATTATTGGTAAAGGATAAATTAATGAAAAATAATCTCTTTAAAATTTCCTTCTTATACTAAAAAAACTACTTGTTAGTGATTACTGCAAAAATGTTAATTTTTGAACCTACACTGTTTCTGCACCAACTACTTCGTTAAAAAAAGAAGAATGTAAGAAGCATTAATATTTATTTTCAGAAAGCACACAATTTTTATTAGAAAACAATCATTTTATAGAAATAGTTTAATTTATTATCATTATTGTTTTCTTATTGAGCTTAAAGTTCTGTGTTAACTAATTTATTGGGGTTATAATCGATCATTACCAAATAGTATTTGAATATAGAATTGCTGCGTCATGATTATGAAATCATTACGAGTTATCACTGAAATAAGTGTATGAAGCAGAAACTACACTTTTAAAATGCTCACTCTTGTCGATTAACCTCCCGCACTGCAAACGATGAACATATGTACACATACTGGGACACATGTTAATAGAAACAATAAAACCTTATTATCCCTTTCTTTTTACTTCATAACTTAATATTGTAAGATGCATTAAA